TATGTGAACTATAAATGTAAAAGATTGAAAGACCGTGATTCAAAATTCATGTCCTCTTTTTCTTTGTCTGATTTAAAATAAATGTGATGGGCTTTCAACCAATTCCCTTGAGCAGACTTCTCTGTAATTTGATAAAACACTCTAGCAGAATATAGTCAGAGAGCTAACATTCTGTGGAGTTATCTGAAATGAAATCTTTGCACATTTGATTTGGCATTAATAACTCGCTATAAAACAATGTTTGGGAGCTGGCACCCTTTGTCTCTGTATGGCTGCATTTATTAGATGGAGTGAATAAACACATTGATGCAATATAATTCTGATGAGTCTGTGGTCATTAATGCTAGCTTTATAATTAATTTGTTAACATTATTTTTAAATACACAAAATAATTAAGAATAATGTTTTTAAACGTTACACTTGTATGAATCAAAAATTGTACAGACTTGAACAGACTTACTGTTAGCACATCGCACAGATAATATGTGGAATGATGCGAACTGAGAGAATCACTGTGTTGTTTGTTTTGGATATTTCATACCAAAAGTACCAAATACCTGTTTGCAATTATAATAATGTGTCAGCAAAGCAAAGCTAAATAAACTCATCTGAAACCCCCCACCCACTCGGCCTCACCATAGACTGCATTTTTCCTCAAAAAAATAAATTCCTCATTACGGCTACCTAACACAACCACAGTGGGCAGTGCTGATTGTGAGAACCAGGTTACAGTCCTTTGATGGCTGACGGGGGTCCTTTTCCTCCTTCCATGCCTGTCTGCTATACACCCTTGTTCCCGTTCTCTAGTCTGGTTTGTACATTGCTGCTTTGTGCATTAATAATGGGAAGGCAGCTTATAACATGCCCTTTTTGCTTGCATTGCTAACATAAGCACATTTTTTATGGAGGATGAGCAATGGGTTTTAAATGACAAATATTAGCTGCCTCGAACAGAACAAAATAGAAGTCAGCACAGGCCATGTGCTGCCCCAAGAGGGAAGACAATTCTACAAAACCTGCATTTCTCTTAGTTTTATTTTGAAGCACATCATATCCTGGGTTAGGATAATGCAAGGAGCTGCGGCCACAACTTGAATATGCAGAACGGCTCTCTGCACGCAGCTCACCACCGTTCGATCATGTGAACTCGTCCATTGCCCCTTTCCTGCCACCAGCCACAATCGAAGCAACAACCGCAACACAGCCGGAAACCTTTCTGGCATTTGACGGTCTTCATTCCTTTTATCTTTGTATGTCAGGTGCCTCCAGAAAAAAGGGTGTTCAGGAGGCACTGAACAGCTATTCTGTCTTTTCTTCTTCATTTTCTATGATAAGGAAAAAAGATGGAAGATCTAAGGAGGACGAGTGGATAACGACGTCATCGTGAATGAAGCAGGGTAATTGCACTCTAAAAGCCTCGTCTGGAAGCACTCCCTACTGCTCAATATTCAGCTCCACTCAGTATCTTGGTGAATGATTTTTGTTCCTTCCTGTTCCTTCTGCAAGCATTCCTTCCGTGCATTGTCTCTACCTTTATAGTCACCTTTCCGCGTGTACTCTGCTCTTTCCCTCATTTTTTTATTCTATTTTTTCTCCTTTTTGCCTTTCCCCCTTTTTCTGTCCTAGTGCTGCCCCGTCTGAACCAAACCTTTTAATTAAAAATTCTTTTTTACATGTATTTGTTGAGCACATTTTACATTTGTCAGTAATTATATACTCTGCCTTTTCGGTTCTAGTGTATGCATGGGCATTCTTACTGATGTCAACAGAATGATAACATAGTACTGAAACAAGAAAGCGTCCACAATAACCTTCTAAAAATGTCTGGAAAAGCAGCAAAAATCATGAATCAACATACATTCACCCAGCGGTGCCACTATAAATAAGGAATGAGGTTCAACAGTTGTGTTTCCCAACAGAAGCCCCCTTGCTGGGATGATAAGGAATGTTTCCAGCAATATGTGGTGGGAAGCTTAGTCCCCGCAGGATCCTTTGCAATTGCAAGAGGGAAAATGGTGGGGCATAAATGTCATATAATAAATAACAATAATACAATATTATTTTATTTACAATTCTGCAAGGACACTGATGTAATAGGGTTAAGGTTAAACATGCCCTTAGCTCCCCTACAATGGGCTTTATCAGATCTGGAAACTACATGGTATTGTAGAATTGTGTGCAGATGCATGAATAAGAAGACAATGGAATAAGTACGCATCTAGGAATGAGTCCATAGAAGTTACTTTGGTTTGTTTGAGTCACATGTGAGGTGGAAAGGTAGCAACTGCCCTGCAGGATCAGCTCAAGTTCCACCTAACCCAGAATTCTGTTTGCAAACTAATTCCATTGCCAGAGCCAAACAGAATAGCCGTAATGTTTCTATCATGCCTGAGAGCTTCCAGAGGTTGACCAGGGTTATGAATAGGATGTCTGACCAGATGTACTTGGGTCTGATTGTGCAACCCACTTCGGATAGCTTTACTGATCAGAGCGAAAGGAAACAGCAATGTCCAGAGGAAATGCACTTCTGAAATTATTTTCTTTGTTCATGAATTCATCGAACTTCCATAGCTAATGCTTATGTATGGATCTGTCCTCCCTGAAGGTATTCATGCCTTCCTTTTAAAAGCAGTGGCCATCACCAGACCCTGAGTAGTGAATCCCATGTGTTAACCACAGAGAGAAGATATGCTTCCATATAAGCCTGAAGTGTCTGATCTGGCCTGACCTTAGAAGCTAAGCAGGATCAGGCCTGGTTAGAATCTGAATGGGAGACTTGCGTGTGTGAACATTGTTGCGACCGGTTGAGCACTATGTAAATAATAACTCACAATAGACAGGTTGTCCCCAAACTGGTATTCTCCAGATACTTTGGCCTTCAGATCCCAGTAGTCCTGGCCATAATGGCCAATGGTTAGGAATTTTGAGAATTACAGTCCAAAACTTCCAGAGGGTAGGGCAACTGCAATAGGCTAAACAGAGGGTTGTGTCCCTCACCGCTGAATATAATTGGTGTGGCATTGCTTAACCCCTTCATGGGTGGGGATGTTTGGCAATAGGAACTAATGTAAGGAAGGATGCAGTCCCATTTCAGCCTGACAAAATAACCAGGTATGCAGCACCTCTCATTCAGATTGGCCCACCTGGTGGACAAAGGCAACCCTCACCTCAAACAGCTGGTTTTGGATGCTGTGGCAGGACAGGCAATGATTACTTAATTATTGTGAAGAGTTTAGGATCAGAAACTGTGCATGTGTGTATGATGGAGGGAGTGCTTGTGGAATTTATCGTTCCAGGTGCCAAATTTATTTTTTTATTATTTCTTTTCTGTACTGCCCTACAGCTCTCTATGGGGCGGTACAGAAATGAAACCACTTGCACGTCTTCCCCAGCTCTGTTTGGTACTTCTTCAGAGTCTCCATCAACCTCCCAGGCTGTGTTTGGCTTAGTCAGACTCAAGTCCTGTAGCCCTCCAAGCAGCACCCTTCCCAATGGCACTAGACCTGTTTGAGGGACATCGATTCCGATTCCGTAAGGCCCACAAGCTGAAGATTCCCACTTCAATCCTGGCCATCTATCATAGTTTGTAAAGTTCTTGGGTAATAAGAATTTGGAGAGCTGCTGTTGCCCCTGTCGCCGCAGAGACCCACACAACTTTAGATCCAGTAACTTCAAGCGACCCACGGAGAGCTTGCCCGGACCGCCTGCCTTTGTCACCTTCCTCTGATTGCAAAGAAGCGGGTAGCGCTTCAAGCACCTGTCAGACCAGGTGGGCTGCCTCTGTCATGAGAAGTTAAAGGAAGGGCTGGCCTGGAGGAATACCGGGCTAGGCATCCGAGAAACAAAGCGCCCCCCCCCCGGACATTTGGAAGTTACGGGGCATTTGCCTCCCAAGGAATTCGGTGGGCCCTTTCCATGCCAAAGGAAAGCGCACGGCGGGCGCCCCGGGCTTTACGCACAAACCCCCCTCGGCGCGCCCTATCAGCGCGCCCCCCCCCCCCATAAAACGATCCGAGCGCGTGTGCGGGAGAGCGAGGGCACCCCGGCGCGCCCCCCAGCGGCCCTCCCCCCCACCTTCCGAGGCGCTCCTGGACGTGCCCAAGCCCCGCCTCGCGCCAGTGCCGGCGTCTCCTCCGAAGGACGCCGCCGCCGCCGCCGCCGCGCCAGCAGCCCGGGAGCCTCTCCGGAGAGCAGGAGCCGCAAGGTGGCAGAGCCCGGGGCGAGCGGGCGCACGCGGGGACGCTCGCTCGCTCGCTCGCCTGCTGCATTCGGCCGCCGCCGCCGCCGCCGCCTTCTCCCTGGGTGCTCGGCTGTGCGCGCCGCTCCGTGCGCGCCGCGCCGCGCGGTGTGGCGTGGCTTGGTGTCTGTTTGCAGCGGCGGCGGCGGCGGCGGCGGGAAGGCTCCGCGGGAATGCGGCAGTAGCGTCCCCAGCCTTGTGGAAGGGCTAAGACACCCCCATACACACACTCACACACACACGCGCGCACGCACGCGCGCACTCCCTTACTCACACACACCGTCTTCACCTCAGCCCTCCTGGCTTTTACGCGTCGTCTCCGGAGACTCCGCCGGGAAGGCGGAGAGCGCCCTCGCCCAGCCTGGCTGTGGCTGAGTGAGGGGCTGAGGAGGCGCCCTCGCCGCTTCGGGCTGGGGGTGGGAGGGAAGGGGGGGCAGCGGCTCCGTGGCTGCCGCTTCTGCGGCTGGTCGTGGTTCCGTTTGGCCGCCCCGAGGAAGGAACAGGCGCCATTGCCGGGAGGATCAGAGTCGGGGGGGGCCGCGGCGTGCGCGCCCCTTCCTCTCCGCCAGCCCCCTCGCCTGGCAGGGGGCCGCGGGCGCCCTCGTGCTCTTGCCCCGCTGACCTCCCCGCAGGATGCTCGCCCTGCCCCGGCGGCCGAGCGCGGCCACCACCTCTGCCTTGCTCCTTCTGCCGCTGCTGAGCGCCTTGGCTTGGGCGCGGAGCAACTCCCGCGGGCTGGCGGGGCTGCCCCCCAGCGCCGCCACCGCCGCCGCCACCCCCATTGCCATCATGGGCTTGATGCCGCTCAGCGACTCCGTGGAGAAGGGCAAGATTGGCCGGGGCGTCCTGCCGGCCATGCAGCTGGCCATGGAGCAGATCCTGAACGAGTCTCTGCTCAGCCCTTACTCGCTGGACCTGCGCTACTACGACACCGAGGTGAGCGAGGCGGGGGGCGGCTACGCCGGGCACCTTTCCGCGCGGGGCTGGGCGGGCGGCGCCGTTGCGGTGGGGCTCGGGCGCGGGGCCACGGGGGCCTGGCGCGGACGCGAGCGCGCTGCCGAGCAGCGTGGCCTGGGTGGCGGGCGGCAGGCTCGCAGGGGGAGGCCGTCCGTTTCGATGGAGTCGCTCCGGCTTGTGTTTGTGCTGCTCGCCACAGGCGTATTCCTTTCCGTGTGCATGTATTCACTGCCGACCTGCGAGCTCGGCCTTGGACCGAGCGGCGTGGGTCGCAGAGGGGAAGGCAGGTGGAAGAGGAGCCACTCCGGTTTGCATCGCGCTCAGCGCCTTTTCACGCCAATCTGCAGCGGCAGAGGTTGGCCTTGGAAGGGAGCATTCGAGGGAGACGGGGGTTTTGGAAGGAACTGCCTGCACCGGAGCCGCTCCGGATCCTGGTCGCGCTTTCCCTCCCCGCGCGGTGGCCTCGCTTCCACCCTGCCACCAGAGGGACGCTCGGCGGGCTGGGTCCCGGCCCAACGGTCGAGGCTGAACCTGCAGCTCTCGCTGCGCCGAGAAAGCGCCGCACGTTATTTAAGCAACAGATGCACGTCAGGGATTTGTGGTTGGCGAGCGCGGAGCAGGCGCTCGGCCACCCGCATAGCCGCGCCGCGCCGCGCCGCCCCGCGCCGCAGCGTTTGCGCACTTGGAGCGCCACTTGATGCTCCCCGTGAACTCCTGAAGGGCGAGGAGGAGGCTGGTCGGGTTTCCAGCGCCTAGCGGGGGAGAGGAAGGCAGGACGGGAAGCGGTGGCGCGGGCGGGGCGGGGCGGGGTGTCCTGTCCTTCCCCTCCGAGAGGTGTGTGCCCAATGGCAGCGGAGGAGGTGAAGGGAGGACGCCGGCGCTTGCGCTGCGCTCGGTGGACGGAGAGCCTCGCCTCGCCTCGCCTCGCCTCGCCTCCGGCTGCTCGTGGCGCGCGCTCTGCCTCCGCGCCCGCTAGCCGGTCGGCGAGTGCAGAGGAGGCACTCGCTTGCGCGCAAGGTGCAGGCCCGCCGAGGAGGGGAGAAGGGCGCAGGGGAACAGTGGGCGAGCCCTTGGCTGCCAGCTTCAGCCCCCGGTTGTGCAACTCGATCAGTGCGCGCCTTGAAAGAGTTAATTTTGCAGTTTCGCCCTTGTTGTTGTCATCCTATGTCTGCCATGCATAATTCTTCCTGTAAGTGCTGGGAAACGCATCTGTACACTTGGAGAGGGTGGAGGACGGCCAGGGGCTTTGGACCCCCGCAGGACTCCTCGTGGAAACTCCCCTTGGCTCTCCCGCTTCTCCGTGGCCCGAACCAAGCGAGGTGGCGTTACTGGCGAGGCTTTATCGTGGACCCTTTGGAGGGTTATTGTTTTGTGCTTGGGTTTTGGCCACATTTCAGGCAAACATGTTTGCGGCAAATAAATGCTGATCCAGTGTTGAACCTTTCCTGAAGGTGGCAGCAGTTTCTTATGTAATACTTGCTCCTTATGAACATCGCCAAGATACCCTTGCTCTGAGGAATGCCTAGAGAAAAACAAGGTGTTAACTTTTCTCATCCCAAATTTGCCTTGAGTGACATGGCATAGGCTTCCCCTAATTTACAATGGATGTGTAGAGGAGATACTGGCAAATCTGCAGCAACCAAATATACTATAGGTGATATAGATCAATGCGTCTCTTCCCCTCTGGTTTTGAAATTACTGGTTTCATTGAAGTTTGTTATTCATGGTTGAACACCATGTGTTTTCTGTTTCTGCTTAGAAAGGAAAGCACTGGAGCAGCACAGTTTTAAGAACTGTCTAATGTGGATTTGAGTAACTGTTGAGCAAAAGTGCACCTGTGGTCAAGCTATTTTAATTACTTAACCACAGAAAAAGTAATATCAATAAACTATTAGATGCTTTGTGTACAAAATAGAATTCAAATAAATTAACTTGTTCATTAAAAAGCATTTGAATACTTGACTGGGAAATGTGATTGTGATGATAAAAAGAACTTAGGCAAACATGCAAAATTGTCTTCTTACATCAGATAAAGGAAATCCTAATTTGTGAAAAGATTTGGCATGTTCAGAACATTCATGATAGACTGTCCAATAAATAGGAGTGATACTTATATCATGCTGGAGTCTTAGGGGTGTGTGAGGCCATTTGGGGAGTTTTGTCAGAGTGAGGCCGGGACATACATTGCTTGATAACGACATGATCAACAGTGTACATGCATGAATGGGCCATTACAGAGAGAGTACATGGGCAGAATTTTCATCTCTCATCAGCATCATCTCCCATATAATACTTCTTAATCGAGTCTGCTCACACATCCAGTCGTCTGTTCAGTATGCATTAATCAGGTGGAGAGAAACAGTGTTTTGCATGCATGTGTGAACTAGGCCTCACGTTGGGATGATTTGAGATTCAGCTGGGCTACTGGAGAACCTGGCTAGAGTTTTTTCTGTCCTCCTTGTGTGCTTAAGAAAATGCTTGCTTGTGCTGCATGGTTCTAGGATATTGGTGTACCCAACCATGCATAGACTGTGCTTCTGAATGAAAACAGTGAATTCCATGAAGATGAATGACATGTGCATTTAAAATTCACCCACATTTCCCACTCCAGACAAAGAAATGCATGTCTGGAAGATGATTCTGGGTGCGGTTCTCCTTATCTGGTTCAGAACATGTAGGTTGAGTAACAATTGTTTAAAAATTTATGCTGTGACTCTTCAGTATTCCAGGAAAGAAAAAATGTAAGCCAAGGCAGACTTTGATCTTCTGAGTACTCTTCTGCTTGTTAACATGTATTTCACTCATTTACTGATGTTAAACTGATAGGCTTAATGGGGAAATGTATAAGTCAGGCTGGACCATGGGGGTGAGGAAGGAAATGTGTGTTTCCTGAATTAAATAGGCATTGAGTTTGAAAAGAGGTCTGGGTACCTGTACCCTTTAAACTCATCTTAAGTGACTGATTGCCAATAATTAGTTCTGATTCTGATACAGTGAAATGTATAAATAAGCTATGATATGTGATGAATTTGCACCACAGTTTTGCCATGGATATAGATGGAGAAGCTCTCCTGGGTAGCAGTTTTGTAAGTATCTCTACACCGCTGATTTCCAAGAAGTAGGTTGCTACTCAGAACTAGTGACCTGTTTATGCCTCAGGTGGGCTGTAATGGAGATACTTACACTATTTTCTCCTTTTTGCTAAACCTGTGAAAAGGCAAGGACAGCATCTGTAGCAAGGACATTTGTGCTTCCAACCCACATGTGATTATTCTCTAGGAGGTTTTTATTGTCTGTTGATTCACTGGTTCACTCTGAGTAACTATTATACTCAATTAAATTTCTTTATTCATTTTTAAATTTATAGGCCTCTGAATAACCCAATAACTCTACATACTCTAATAATTCTCTAAGCAGCATACAACAATAAAATACAAGACAAAACATTCCTAGTAACAGTTTAAAAAATAATAAAATAACAGTCTATAACAAAGTGAGCCGATGCACTAAGTGAAGGGCACCAATATATTTATATTTCTGAAAACAGAGTTGGGCCAGGGTGGTGGTTTGACCTGGGATTGACCCGCTAGTATTATGTGCCACCCTATCTCCAAATTACCACGACCCTGAGAATGAGTGCCCTCCAAAATCTTTGCCAAGTCCTTGGCAGTCCCGATTAGCTCTTGTAAACAATATTGATATAGTTATTAAATAACATGTAACCACAGGAATTACTCATAAAACACCTATCCTGTTGTAATTGACCCTTGAATGCATCCATCCAGGAGCTTGACTTTATACTTCATTGATCCTTTCCTCAGAATTTCTGTCCTGACACTAAATCCTCAGGAGGGAGAGAGACAAATGTCTGGGGACGGGGGTAAAAATGTGCACCCAATGTTGCAGGTTATGGTTCAAAGTGGATCATAAGTTGGAAACAGTTGAATCCTCCTGTTCTACAGAGAAATAACAGCATCACATCAAATGTGAAACAGTTATTATAAGAGGAAATCATTTATGAACTACCAGTGATGCTGAGTTTCCCAGGACTGTACAAGAAAAATGGAGTTCCTGGCAGCCCTGAATTTTAGGGTTTTCATAATTTTTTTTAGCATTCGTGTGAGACACACATGGGGTTGTATCTAATATTAGTTTAAGCAAGTCCTGTTCATTTCAGCAGTAGGAGCAACATTTTAGGTAGGAGTAACATGAAGTGTAACCCAGGGTCTTTAACTGACTTCACTTTAGAAATTGTCAGATATATAATAGTTTGCTGTTGTCTGGAAGGTTTGTTACATAGGACCTGTTTGAGCAGGATTACCAACAGCTGGAAATTGGCCACTTTCCCAGGCATTTCACTACAGAGTGAAACGAAGAGGTTACAGAACAGTATGAAGAGAAACAGGCAAAATGAGAGTTACCAGTTTTTCTCTTCCATTGTCCGAACTAAAGCTCTTCTCTGCCCCTGTAAATAAAAGCTTATCTTTGTGACACTGTAACAAATCTTCTGGTAGTCCTGTTTGTGACATAACAAACTTTGGATTACAGTCATCGGTCTAATTATTAGAATGCGTGGCTGGCAGTTAGACGTGGTTTATGAGTCATCGGGTCCGAATGTACCATCCTATTAGGACAATATTAAGCATGAGGGGAGAAAGTTAAGTTTTGAATAGAGTAGTGCAGCATTCCTGCACATGTTTTTGCAGTACATCCTATTCCCCTTGAAGTAACTTCAGCAACAAAATACTGCTAGTGTTCTTTGCAGTGTTGGCTCAATGGATGGAAGCAAAGAGGCCTGAGAGGGACCAGTGTTGCCAGGGGAATCCTGCACTGCTCAAGAGAAATGGAAGCCACATCATCTCTCTCCTAGGAAAGTCCAGGCAGTTGTCATAGGGAGAGGAAAAAGAAGAAGGGGACATGACAGGTTCCTTTCCATCTTCTGAAGGAAGGAAATACTGTGTCTAGCACAGCTGTTTTAC